ACCACGTGACCAAAGAATTATATTTCTCGAATTCATGTGTAAAGCTTCTCCTTCTTCAGTTTTTTACTGTCCATGTTATTGTTCACCAGAAAGTTGTTCTTTACATTTTGAAATATATTTGTGGCACTCGGTTTTAGAGTCTCTTGTTCTATTCGACGTGTTGTTTAGAGTTGTGTGTCTATTATGATATTGATTGGGATGGTGATCATACTAATCGGAAATCCACTTTTGTTGTGTATATTTTCCTTGGAGATTCACTTATCTCATGGAAAAGTAAGAAATATGATGTTGTCTTTCGATCTTCTATAGAGGTTGAGTATCATGTTATGGTTTGTTTGGTTGCGATGACTTCTTGCATATATGAGTGTTGATGTTTCTCTACTTACCCCCTTACATTGTGGTAATAGAAGTGTCATGCGGAATGCAAAAAATTATGTTTTCATAAGCGAACAAAACATACTGAGATTTGACTGTCATTTCACTCGCCACCATCTACAACTCGAAACCATATTGCTACCATTTGTTCACTCAACTTTGTTGATTGTTGATATCTTCACAAATGCCTAAGCAATCTCTCGGTTTTGTTTCTTAACTAACAAACTGTGAATGTTTATTGCTATGAAATTATAAGTTTGAGAGATGATGTTAGTATAATAAGTTATTGAGCTTATTTTCTTTGTATTTTTATTTAAAGATTTAGCTAGGTTAACATATATATTTTTTCCATTTCTTTATAATTTAATTTTGTCACAATAATTAAATCCTCACCGTTTGAAATTGATTGAAAAACAATTCTTTTTATTATTATTATTATTATCATCATTCAGTTACATAGCAATGAATTTATGACCATTTTAAAGACGGGTAGATAAAACCATTAAATTTTGGACCTTACCCAATGTTGTTTAAAGTGCAGGTAGACAGAGATACAGTTTCCGTAAAAGATAAGGAGCACTTGTACATTTTTTTTCCAATATTAGGTACATAGTAATAAAATTTGGGTTGTGCTATAAGTACCCCCTTAGCTGATTTTACACCCCCCTAACATCAATCTAATCAAACTTTTACATTTGATTTGACATCATTTTTTTTCTTTTTTCTTTTTTTTTTTTGTTTTTTTCCCTTTTGTTTTTTTGTTGTTTTTTCTTTTATTAATAAACTTTTACTTCGATGTTTAATACGATTTTTTTTACGTTAATGAAAAGTACATGGTTAAAATAAGATAATTTTTAATTTTTTCTAATCGTATATTAAAAAAATCTGTACATACATTAATGGTAGTAAAACTTCCATTTTAATTAGATTAAGTTAGTAAAAATAAGTTAATGTTAGAAAAAATCGAACATAATCTCGTGAAAAAATCTATAATATTAACTTGTTTATTCAGATGTTCATAAAAATACTTGTGGACGTCCACGATTGAGCAAACAAAAGTCCAAAAATGTAGGCCACAACACCCCACCTATACCAAACCCTACCCCTACCAATACTCGTAGACGTAGTTTTTCTACGAATAGAACAGATAATATGGATACTAGTGACCTTGACTTAAATCGGGAACCAGAGAGGCATAGCACGTACTCGTTTCGCGAACATTCAATGTCCAATTCATACTTTAACCAAGATCAACCATCTTATACTTCAATCCCACTTATGAATGAAATTCCACATCAATTTCATCCATATGTCAGGAACATTACAAATGTCGAAGGAGATGGAAATTGTGGATTTCGGTCTATAGCAGTTGCTCTTGGTCGTAGTGAACATGATTGGCTTCAAATTAGGTACGATCTATACAACGAGTTATTATCACACTATCAAGAGTATGCTATGATTTATGATGATGTTCATTTTTTAAACCGCATAAGTCACTCGTTGAATTACTCTGGATCGGGTTTTGCGGTATCGGAGTATTGGTTGATTATGCCAGACACTACTATACTCATTGCTAACAGATACGGTGTTATCGTTATTTATCTAAGCAAACAAGGTTCTTCAACGTGGTTCCCACATCGATATGGCCCGCAAGACATACCAAACCCTGCATATGTCGTTATCGCCCACATTCACCCTAACCATTATGTAATGGTTGATTTACAAGGAGCATATCCAATGCCTGATGTTTTGTCCAGGCTTCTCCGTACATACAGATCAGAACATTCGGCTGCATGAGAAACATTATATAGTGTTCGACTAAATGTTTTCAATCCGTATAATGCACCACGCAATACACAATTGTAATTCCGATTTTATATAGTCGTTCGAATTTATAATGTCCGATTTGTAAAATGTTGTTTGAAGTTTATAATAATAACAGTAATAATATAAATATTAAAATATAAAAAAATATTTAAAAACTGATTTTATATAGCCGTTTGAATTTATAATGTCGTCCGAATTTTAAAATTTTATGCGAAATTTATAACAATTATAATAATAATAATAATAATATATAAATTAAAAAAGAATTAACAAATAAAAATGTCGTCCGAATTTTAAAATTTTATACGAAATTTATAACAATAATAATAATAATAATAATAATAATAATATAAATTAAAAAAGAATTAAAAACAACTAAAAAACAAAATAGGAAAAAAAACCAAAAAAAACAACAAACAGACAAAAAGATCAAATAGGGGGTGGGATTAAAAAAGGAGGGTACTTATAGAAAAACCCTAAAATTTTAGTTTGGGGTGCATAGTGACGTGGATAAATCCTAGTTGTTCGATGTCCCATGAGAAGGGAACCTATGGCTTACGAAATCTCTCACGTGCCAAGTGACTCAGTGGCATGCAATATTAAAATCTTAAATGCATTTTAATTTGAAGACCAGGGACCAATCTAGACAGCGTACCTTATTCTTCTTATTATTATTATTTTAATGTGTATAATTAAAAAAAATAACCATCAGGGAATTTGTTATGACAACACGTATTTCTGTTAGCAATCATGGATCCATCATTGTTCAAGACTGTGAACAAAATGTTTCAAATCATGCATTATCTTTTATATCTTATTTTATATCTCCTACTAATCTGATTGACCTAGATTGATAAGTATAAGGGGATGCTTGAAGATTGTTCTTATTAGGTCTATTTGATATTATAATTAGAAGGCCTCCGATTTGATCTTATAGCCTTTGATATGCTTCTTATCAAGTTTTATAAGAGATTGAGTCTAACTTATTAGATCTCATTCAATCAACAACGATAAAAAAAAAACTCTAACTTAGATTCACAATAATATAGTTTGGTTATGGTAAAAACAATTGTGTATTATGTATATTTTGTTGTTACATCTGAGGAAACCATGTAGTTTATATTTATACTGAAATCTATATTTATCTATAAAAAAATAATTTTAATATTTGGATTTAATTTACAAAATTAACTTGTATCTATTCATCGTATTATACATGTCTAATAAATTATCAGCATAAAAGAATTTTCAACATATACAAACTATACAAAGTACAACTCGTTTAAAATTATAGCAAAAATACAAATCAAATATATTACACATCCATTTATTTTAACTTTTGCATAGTATGTAGTACTATGCAACTTTTGCAATCAATGTAACCCATTAATAGACAAATTATTCACCTATTCATAATATTGTTACATCGTAATATTATTATGATGATTAATAGGACTTTATTTAGAGGCTTTGAGTTCGGTTTCAACTTTTACTACACGATAGTCATTATTAAAAACAATTGTATGATATGCACATGATATTTTGTGCGGGTCCTATACTCCTACCAACATAAATGATAGTAGGGTAGCATAAAACCGGTTGCGCACAATTCTGTGTGCGTATTTACTAGACACTATGTTTGGCATGTTGTAACTAATTTATTTTTTGTGTTTTTTTGAGTTGTCATGTTTTAAAATAAAAAATCAACTTATGAGCTAGTTTTGTAAAAATATATCCAATATAATGTTTCAACTAGGTTATTAAGTTTTTTTTTTATTTCTTTCAAGTATACTCTTTATTAATTATAAAACTAGTTTATGACCCGTGGTTCCCACGGGTTATAAAATTAATTAAACTTTTATAATAAAAATTTATAATTATTAATCAATTATTTTAAATAAATTATTAATTATGATATATATCAAAATTTTAAAGTTATTATAACTTCAAATTTAACATATAATTAGAAAATGTAAATTTGAATTTTGAAATGAATTGTCTAATATATCTACATGATAAATGACATAATATTAATGACGAGTTGTATTAAAGTGATACTTTACAAAAAAATATTAAAATTATTCATTTAGAGATAAAATCTCATTCTTATGTTGAATTTCAACTAAAACATGGTTATATTTATAACTTAATGTTAGTTTTTCATATTAGTTTTTTCATGTTTTTAATTTACGTTTTTTAAGTTTTATTTCAAAAATAGAATAAAATATCAGTATATTCAATATTTATTAAATTCATAAATGTTATCCAATTACTTGATAACATGTCATATGAAGTTTTGTTATAATATTACGAATATTATATGTGACAGAAGAAATATCATTTAGATATAGATAATTAAATAATTATTTTCTAATAAAAACATAATTACATTATATGTATTATATGTGTTACACGAATTTTTTTATAATATTAAAATCATTCTGTTAAATATCATTTTATATTTTCTTATAGACATCAAACTATTAATTAGTTTAACGAAATTTTGAGGACACCCTTTATATTACTAGTGGGTATGGATCCAAGTTATAACATTTATTTTTTGCTTTCTCACTTGCCACAATCATCCTTCAAAATACCATTGTAGGAAATGATCACCACACCACCAAACCATTTTATTATTTTTTTTAAATTAAATCGCTATAAAAAATTAATGAAATTAAATGAAGAAACATGATTGGTCAATTGCCTTATTATTTTTCCTCCGGCTATGTTAACTCATCAACATCTCTTAACATAATATGAAAAAAAGGGGTGGTGTTTCTTAAAGCCTTTTAACACTTAAAGAGGACCCATACATAGTCTAAAAGAACAGTGTTTAAGATTTAAGATGTTAACGTCTTAACTCTTAACAACACCATTTTTATAAATATTTTTTCTTCTATTTTAAAGTAATGAATTCAGATAACTTAAAAATCATATTAAATTTCAAACTTGTTACTTTCAACACCCAAGGTATGCTTCTTTTTATCGCCATCTCTTTCTAACTCTTTGTCCAACTCATTTCTCTCTCTCCTCTGCAAAAACTAGCAAAGGTGTGTGCTTGCCCCACCCCCAACCAGTTCACAACATGGAATGCTGCCAGCAAAAGCTTCATCTTTCCACTAAATTTTGCTTCATGTATGGCTTTTTAATGGCAATATTTCATGTTGGTGTTTCAGATTTTCGCCATTTTTCCTAACCCTTTTTTCTGAATCGACATTAATACTCTGTTTCATTAAACAGTGACTTTATCTTGCTTAACATGTCTTTGCCTGTGTTTTTCTTTTCTTGATTTTCTTAGGTAGATGATGAGAAAGGAATGAAAGGACTTGTACTTCATGCTTCAAGAGTTGTAATCTTCTTGAGATCTTGAAAGTGAAAAGAGTATACTTTTTTTTCACAGATTTACAATGCCAGTTCCTCTAGCTCCATATCCAACTCCTCCTGCGCCACTTACAACTCCTACCGTTGGTATAACTGCACAATTCTTACTAGATTAGCAACAATCCTCATGAGTTCAATAATTTATTTATTGGTTAAATCCTTTTTCTTTTCTTTTTTCTTGTTTAAAGACTGAAAGCATCAAATACGGATTACAACAAGCTAATCTGTTCAAGAAAACAGAAATCGAATCAAAACAAGATTTCGGAAAGAACCCCAAATGTTTTTTCACGATTATATTTATATAACAAAATGATTTGTGAATTTGGTGCACGAAGAAAGCTCGGAACGCCAGAAAAACAGAGCATAGAATGCTCTGTTTCTCGTTCAATCTAATGTTTTTAGATCTGTTTTTGTATGAGATTAATTGTGAAAAGTATTATGAAACAGGATCTCAAAGTCAGCTAGTGTGTTCAGGATGTCGAAATCTTCTCCTTTATCCTGTTGGAGCAACTTCAGTATGCTGTGCAGTTTGCAATGCAGTCACCTCTGTTCCTCCTCCTGGTATCAAACTTTCAGTTTTAATGGCTTCCAAATTGTTCATACTTCAAAGATTATGTTTCTTAAACATAAATTTTCAATGATTTAGGCACTGAAATGGCTCAGTTGGTTTGTGGAGGCTGCCATACATTGCTCATGTACATCCGTGGTGCGACAAGTGTACAGTGTTCTTGCTGTCACACCATCAATTTAGCCTTAGAAGGTAACCAAATTTAACTTCTAAATCATGTAAAAATTCGATAAAAAAAACTTGTTAAATAACAAAAGTTAACAACTTTTCTACAGCAAATCAAGTGGCACATGTGAATTGTGGAAACTGTAGGATGCTTTTGATGTATCAATATGGGGCACGTTCAGTGAAATGTGCAGTTTGTCAATTTATTACGTCTGTTGGGGTTAGTTAATAAAAAACTTTACTTTATTAGTTTTCTGAATTTTTTTATAAATATTAGTATGGATTTATAATAACTTATGGTATATACACAGGCGTCAACAAGTGCTACAGAACAGAAGTTCAATGTGTAACACTTGAAATTTCATATTAAATGGTGACCCAAGAATCTACGTATTATTACATATATGTATAATGTATAGAGTTACATATCTCCTCTTACGTGAGACTATCATCATCTTTTTCATAAATATTATGGTGATCATAAAGAATAAGAGTACGTAGAATTGGATATACAAGAATATATTTGATTATGAGAGGACATTTATTTATATGGCTGTAAGTTGGTGTTTGGTTTTTCAGATAATGAGAAGTTTTATATATATTGTTGATATGTATGTGATTTGGTATTTTGGTGTGAAAGTTGTGTCATTATTTGACAAATTAATTCAGGTATTAAAAGTTGTCATTTCATGTTAGAAATATTATGGTTTAAAGGGTTGAATCTTAGATAGATAATGACTATAGACTATAAAGGATAAGTATAAAGAAAAAAAGGTGTAGGAAGAATCATGTGAGACTTCAAACTTCAAAGTTCAACCCATGATGCCATGATTGAATACCAAAGGAAAAGGGTATCTACGTAATTTCGTAGCGATGAGTAGTGACATCAAGCATGTTATGAATCTACCGGTACACATCTTTGAAGATTTGTGGTATTCAATGGAAGAGTCATGGTAGGAAGAAAATGACCTTTGAGACCATAATGGATAAGTATGAAGACAAAAAGATGTAGGGGAGAATCATGTGAAAAAATAAATAAATAAATAAATTAGAAAAAGAAAGTGAATAGTAACTGATAATGCCATGTAAAAGATTATCGATCACTAAAATTAGTCTTCTTTTTCTGTGGTATACACAAAAACGGTGACCATTACACTTAGCGTATATAATATAAGTCCTGATTTGGAGATAATTAGTCTTCTTAAAATGAATAGTAACATCGTGAATTTTTGGGATCAATATTGTGGACTCGTAAACAATGATTGTGAGGTAAAATTACTTAATTGGCCAATTTAAGTTATGTGATATTTATTTTGGGGGGGGGGGGTGTGTGGATGAGTGCTAATTCCAAATTAACTCGATTCAAGTATTAAATTATGTTACATGCAACTTTAGGTTGATTGAATTTATGATAAAAATAACAAGTTTTCATCCACATTGATGATGATAAACATATCATTACAAGACACAAACCAAGTCATGAAACAACTTGCTTGCATCTACAAAATCAAAGGGTGAAGATTTCATAATCAAAATGTGTTTATATATTCATTAACATCGACCTCATTTGTTCCTCCATCTTAAATCCAGCAACCTCTGCCTCCTTACAAACCTCTTTACAATTACCAATTCTCCCATGAATTGCATAAATTTTTATCACATCCATGTAAATATCAAATCCAGGAGAAAAACCAGCTTCCTTCATCTTTGAAAAATATCTCACAGCTCTCGAAAGGTCATTAAGAGCAACAAAAACTTTTATCACCACACGATATGCTGGAAGATCAAAAAGACAATTTCGCCCTTCCATTTCCCACACCAAAGCCAAAGCCTCTCTATAACAATTACTACAATAACGACTATGTACAACAGTGGTGTACATCACTACACTTGGTTCACAACCCGAGTCTTTAAACCAATTATATAAACCTTCAACAATCTCAAATTTTCCTAACTTTATGCAAACTTTCATGATAGCTGTACAATCTTGCTGTGTTAGATTCAAATCCTGTCTTTCTCCAAGCTCTTCAAGTAAAGCCATAATATGTACATAATTATCTGGGCTTTTTCCTAGTTCCAAAATCAGCTTTGCATAAATACCAGTGTCCACCATTATCTTCCCATTTTTGGCAGCTGAAACGAGTTTGTATGCAAGTTTTAAGCTTCCACTTCTTATGAAACCCTTCACAACTGCTTCATACACATTCTGGCTTGATAGGCTTAGGAATTTTTCTAGCTTGAAAGAGAGTTTTAACTCATGGTTTCTTGCAAGGACTTCAACTGTTGAAGCAAGAAGCGTGTCATCTGGGTATAAATGAGGCTGTTTTTGGACCCAACAGAAGATTTGTAAAGCTCTTTCGGGTAAACCCATGTGCCCTAATTCTCTTACTGTTAATGACAATGAGCTTTTGCGAAGAAATCGAGTGTAATTGTTTAAAACTGTGGAAACGTCTTTTTCAGGAGGAAGGTTTTTGATTTCTTTGGCTAGAGTAATTAAGAATGTTGGATCTTTGTATAGTTTGCTAGATAAAGATTTTCTTGATGAGTTTATGGTTTTTGCAAATTTCTTTGAAGTGGGAAGTCCTAATGGTTGTTGCTTATATGGAAGTGGGAGAGGAAGAGGTCTTTCTCTAGCTTTTTTTCCGGGTTTTTGAGGGATTCTTCCTCTAAATAGTGAGGTGATTGTTTCAATCTCATCTGGGTCCCACTCAGGATTGTCTTCTTCTTTTTCTACTTCATCTTCACCATTTTCATGATCTGTTTCCATAGAGGTTGAATTTGAATCATCAGGGTCATTAAAAGGTTTTGTTCCCTGAGGATCATTGGATTTCTTGAATGGTTTTCTAAGGTAAATCCTGGTTCTTGATGGATCCATCAAACTGAATCTAACTTCATCCTGATGGTTTCTTTTGATTGAAGTCTTCTGTGATTCAGTAAACCGAATAGGAACATGGGTTTCTGAGACTTTACAGAAGAAACAAGAGAGAACTGCACCATCCATGGTGGCTGACTTGAGATATACAAATGTCTTTTGTGGTTAATTTCTAGTTAGATTAATTCTCATTGACCTAGAGGGAAGCTTGATCAACATTAATAGAAATAGTTCATGATTGAAAGAAATATCGGAGCTAAAGAAACATGGGCTTGTCTTCTATTTAGTAACCTCACTGGGAACAGGCATTTTATCAAACAGCAGATAGGCAATTCAAATTGATGAACTTGCAAACACGAACCCTGTAAAATCCAACAATCATATGTAAATTCGCATCAATATACACGTATATTATATCAGCTGCAAAGAATTAAAGGAAAAATGAAAGTAACGGTTTTTTAACAGCCTGGCAAGGATCAAATCATCACATTTAAGCATGCCAAACAAATTCACCATATTTGCAATTTCAGATTTCAGCACGTTTCAAGCATAATTTCAGCATACCAAGCATAATTTCAGGTTTCAAGCAAACGAAGCATAATTTCACATTTCAGCATAACAAGCATAATCTCAGATTTCAAGCATAATTTCGGATTTCAAGCATAACTGTTTAGCAAAGAAAATCAGAACACACAGGGACCTTTTGGCAAAAAAATATCAAGCGATGGATTTAGGAAATTCATAATCAAAGTTCAGCAAACAATCAGAATTATAGAAGAAAGAAATCGATTTCAGGGAAAAGAGAGAAAATCAGAACACACAGGGGATGTTTGGAGAAAGAAATATATTTCAGGGAAGAGAGCCGGACGCTTACCTGTGGCGCTGCTTGCGGAGGAAGGCTTGAGGTGGCGACGCTGGCGGAGAAAACCGGTGGAGTGGCGGAGGTGGGGTTCGCTCAAGTGTGGTTGCCGCAGGTAGAAAGAAAATCAGAAGCAAATAAGATTATCCAAGAGTGAAACAGTGAAGGATATTCAAACAGTGTACAAAAGTTTTTTTTGGAGCCGCAGTCTGAAATAGTGAAGAGAATGAAACACCCCACTTTATCAAAATATATCAGACAAAATTGCAAAAATGGTCCCTGTGGTTTGTCAATTTCTGTGGGTAAGGTCCAAAAAAAAGTTTATTAGCAAAAATGGTCCTTGTGGTTTGTCAATTTCTGTGGTTTGTCAATTCGTATGTTAGCATATGACACCCCCCCTCTCTGATGCAATAGACGAGAGTTTTAGGATGTCTACACGTACTGTCCGAGAAAGTCTTCACGAATTTTGCATATATGTCATGTCTTTGTACGGTCCACGATATTTGCGTCATCCTACTTCTCCTGGCATACAAAAGTTGTATGCTCATCATACCAATGGTCATGGTTTACCTGGGATGTTAGGAAGTTTAAATTGCATGCACTGGAGATGGAATTTGTGTCCAAATGCATATCATGGACAATACATGAAGGCCAATTATCACTATCTTACGGTCGTACTTAAATAGGCAAATATTATTTATTAGAAATAAAAATAATAAATTTAAATTAATAATCCAATAAAAAGAACTAATGCAATAAAAAATTAAAAAAAATTAATTAAATGAAATTAATAATCCAATAAAGTAACACTTACTAATAGACAAATATATAATATTATATGTTAATATATAATAATCCAATAAAAAGAATTAATACAATAAAAAAGAAATTAAAAAATTAATAATAAAAAAGGTAATATTTATTAATATATAAATATAATATAATAAAGATAATATTTATTATTATATAATAATTCAATCAAAAGAATTAACGAAATAAAAAAATTAAAAAAAATAATTAAATAAATTTAATAATCAAATAAAGTAACACTTACTAATAGATAAATATTATATTTTAAAATAATATTTATTAATATATAATAATCCAACAAAAAAGAATTAATGCAATAAAGAATAAATTCAAAAAAAATTAATTAAAAAAAATTAATAATAAAACAAAGTAATATTTATCTATATATAAATATAATATATTAAAAATAATATTTGTTAATGTATAATCCAATAAAAAATAATATAATAAGAAATAAGTTAAAAAGAAATAAGTAATTAAAATAATTAATATATAATAATTCAATAAAATGAAAAAGAAAAATTGCATAATTGGTCCTTGTAGTTTGGTAAAAAGATAAAACTGCAGAAATGGTCCCAGGGGTAAATCCGTTATTTGCCAAAAGTTAACAGCCATACTGTTAAACTTAACGAGGTAGGGACCAAAACCACAACAAAACCATCAAATAGGGACCTTTTTTGGTAATAAACTTTTTTTTGGACCTTACCCACAAAAATTGACAAACCACAGGGACCATTTTTGCAATTTTGTCAATATATTAATTTGAAAGTTTTTTTTTTTTAAATAAGAAACATCATTTGTTGTAAAAAGTTTTAGGGTTAATGTAATTGTGACCATTTTAGTTTTAAAAAGTTTCTCATTATTTTTTAGTAGTTTAAATGTTTCAACTATTATGACCCAACAAACTGTCCATTTTGGTTTTAAAATGTTTCTCATATTATTTTTTAGTAGTTTAAGTGTTTCAATTTGTTAGTATCATTATGACCTAACAATCTGTCTATTTTTCCAATTGACATGTAAATACTAAGGCTGCTGGGAGTGGACTGTGGTTTGGAACCGCATTGATGCCACCTGGACCGCAAACACCGCTCCCTAGGTGTGGTTTCATGCAGTTTTGGCCGCAGTGTGGCTAGAAAAGACCACATGCTGTGATTGGTTGCTCCATCTTTTGATCGTTGAACGGTCCTTGCGTCCGAATTAAAATTTTTTTTTTTACTTTACTCTATATATATACTTACCAGTTTTTACTCCACCTTCAACCAAAATCCTTACACTTTTACTCTCTTTTCCTCCAATTTTTTTGAAAACGTCTTCTTCCAAAAGGCCCAGCAAAGAAAAAACACCCATCAGAAACACCACAACCCCAATACCTTCATTTGATCAACCGATTTTTTCACCTCCGTATTACCATTATGGCGGTATGCTTCCGTATTTTCCACAACGACCAACACAACCACTACCACAAACACTACCACAACCCGACACATATTTTAATCCATTTGATTTTTTGTCTCAACCCGAGTTTGTTCAACAAACACAAACACAACCAGAAACGGTCGTTTCTGATTCCGAACCAGAATTCGTTACAGAAACTCAGCCCATTCGAGCAGCAAATAAAAGAAAATAGAAGGCGGATGCTAAATGTTGGGAGCCCTTGGAAGTGTTAGTGTTGGCACAATCTTGGATCGATATTTTCAGAAGATGCGACGGTTGGAAAAGACCAAAAGCATGACCGCTTTTGGATTCGTGTTTTACATAGGTTCCATAAAGGAATGAACCGTGGAGAATACCGTTCAAAACATCAAGTTTACTCGAAGTGGGGGAAGATGAACAAGGAAATCATGTTGTTTAATGATTTGTATAACAACATGAAACGTCAATGGAAAAGTGGAGAAAGCGATGATGTGATTTTGAGGAAAACGTTGAAAGTGTATCAAAAAGAAAACCTGAAGGCTTTCAAGTTTCTTTGTAACATCCCAAAATTCAAAGCCAAAAATTTCATTTTTAAATAAGTTATTATATAAAACCATCAGTATAAAAACATTCATAATAATATCTCGTGTCAAACCAAAGTGTCAATAATCAAAACATATTATCATAAAACCATATCAGAGTGTAATCCCAAAGATCTCATGTGCGGAAAACTGTGATGCGCTGCGATCAAGCCGGCTCCTTTCCTTTGAAAACGAGTACCTGAAACCAAAACTGTAAACCGTAAGCACGAAGCTTAGTGAGTTCCCCATCATACCACACACCATACAATAACATACTGTCAGGCAATTCTGGGGTGCCTGACTACCCAGGTCAAGCCATTCTGGGGTGCTTGACTTACCCAGGTCAAGTCATTCTTAGGTGCTTGACGAACCCAGGTCAAGCCATTCTGGGGTGCTTGACTTACCCGTCGGTCTATTTCACCCGACTACCGGGGACTATTTCACCCCTACCACTACCATATAACACACATATACTGCCAGGCAATTCTGGGGTGCCTGACTACCCAGGTCAAGCCATTCTGGGGTGCTTGACTTACCCGTCGGTCTATTTCACCCGACATCCGAGGACTATTTCACCTCCTACTACTACCACATAATATTATAGCATGAACATACTGTCAGGCAATTCTGGGGTGCCCGACCTACCCGTCGGTCCTAACGACCGAACTTGGGGACTAATCTCCCCCTACTACCATCATCACATATAACATATCATGCTAGCACATAAACATATCAGGTAGTAGCAAACATAGACAATTATCACAAAGACAATCATCTACAACAACTCCTACTGGTGGGCCGGCATTGTGGCCGTAGACCCACCGCTACTGGAAGGTAACTCACCTCACACTGCTGAAGTCCCGTAAACACAATCCCACACTGCTGAAGTCCCGCAGACTCAACCCCAGCTGCTGGATGACAGATTCCCGAACTGTCAACACCAAAATAACACCCAATTAATAATTGGGTTCCGCTACATAACCATAAGTACGTACTTGGGGTCATTACTACATTACCCCATGCTTGGCTTTATTCAAGCCTAAGGCCCAATCCATAGGCCCAAAAGTCAACTATGAGTTAAAGCCCATCATATGGCCCAAGTTTCCAAATTAGGCTCAGGCCTATACATGGTCTTATTCTAAGGCCCGACATCATATAATCATTAAGGCCCAAACTATGGCCCAATTTTCCAAATTGGGCCCAAACCCCTTACATGGGCCTTACCCTAGGCCCGTTAGATTATTCTAGTCTAATTGCTTGATCGTGTATGACCCATTTAATAACTCAATCATCAAGGCCCAATAGAAAGGCCCAACAATAAACCCAAGTGAAATTAGGGTTTCTCATAAAATGGTGATTAGGGTTAAGTTTCCTACTTAACCCATTAAGGACTTAATCCTCTAAGGACTTAATCCATTAAGTTCAATATCGCTTAGATTAATCTTTACCAATGATTATTATTTAATATCTCAAGTTATTAAATAATTCTCTTGTGTGTGTCCCGATTAATTCTTAAAATTAGGGTTTTATTGGCATTAGGGTTTTCCAACCTCTAATTAGGGTTTCCAACCCAAACACTAGCCCATTTATCAATTTGTTGGACTTGTAGGTCAATTAGGGCTTTATTGGGCCTATTAGGCCCATTAGAATATCATTAAGTCCATTAGGGTTTTATTTGGGTCAATTAGGGTCCATTAGGGCTTACAAGACCCATTAGGGTTTACAAGCACCCTAAACGAATCAAACTCACAAAGCAAGCACACCGCCACCCGACACGACGGCCGGTGGCAGCAGGAGGCGGCAGCCACCACCCTATGGTGGTGGTTTGATTTTTCCTTTCATTATTCCAATTGCTTTACAATTTTCAATGAACTCACAAATAAACACACACACTACACTAATTAAACATGCACAGCCACCCTATGGTGGCCGGCGGCGGCGGATGGTGGCAGCCACCACCTCATGGTGGTGGTGGTGGGTTTCCTTTGTTTTTTCCGGCTGAGCAACGCACAAACACGCCATACAACACCCACAACATCTAATAACGCCACACAATCAGCTTAAACTAACACACACAAACGCTACACACATCCGCACCTAACAATGGTGGTGAGGGGCGGCAGCCAAATGGTTGTCGTCGGTTCTACGCACGGAAGAAGGGGAGGAAGCCGCAGAAAGCACGCCTTATCTGGTGAACGATTGCAACAGCAACACCTCGTCATTTCTTGCTTTGATTTTCCCACTCGTCTTCTCTAATTTCTTGCCGAAAATGACAGCAGCGGCGGAAGCAAGGTGATGGCTTCTCGACGGGATGAAGAAACAGGAGAGCGAAGATGGTGGGAAGGGGTGTGCCTTTACCGGCGAGAGACAGCGGCGGAACAACTCCTGACTTCGTCTTCCAACCTCCATTACAGACGCGACAGAAACAACTCGCTCCTCCGGTATCTGACTGACGCGGCGTTGGCAACAAAGATTCGTCGAATCTTGGCTGATCGGAAAAACACGAAGGTGGGGTGGTGGCGGCTGGAGACGAGATGCGGCGGCTGAAAAATGGTCCTAGGGTTAGGGTTGTTTGAAGTCATGTTTTTAAATGGATGCCAAGAAGAAAGGTGACGGGTCATGACCCCGTCCAATTACAACTTAAGCCCAAAATTCGCTTTTAGTCCCTCCCTCTCAATTTCTTCTCAACTTAGGTCTATAATTTACAACACAGCCCCCAACATTCTAGATTCTTAACAATTCAAGTCCCATAAGTTACAATTTAGTCCATAAATTACCAAACGGCCCCTAATATCTTAATTATGACATAATCAGCCCTTCCACCTCATTTCCTTTTAAATTAAATTCAAATAATTACCACGGAGCCCCCGCCTTCATAAATAATTATAAACTGAGTCACAAACTCACGCTTTTAACCCCCGACTTCTAAAAATGTGGCAATTAACTCCTCGAACCCAACACCCTGCATATATAATTATTTATTTAGGCTACTATTCGTTCATTAATTTATTTATGTAACTAATAAATAGACGGGTGTTACATTCTTGAAGTTTGGAATTTTGTGAAAGATAACAAGAAATGGCAAAGTAGCAAAACATCAGACGAGCATATCGACAGTGGTTCAAAACGCAGCAGAACATCTGAGTCCGACCACACTACATCATATGCTCGTGTTCAATTTGATCTGAACGAAGATGAACCTGTTCCAGTTTCACCACCTTCCCGGCCAATGGGAAGAGACAAAGCAAAAAGAAAAGGCAAAGGCAAAACGTTGGATTCAGATGAGTTGAAAGAAATGGGGGCCGACATGAAGGGTATAAAAGATAGAATGGACAAGATTTTGCAAATTGCTTTTGAAAGAGAGCTTCGGAAACAAAAGGACAGTGACATGCGAGTACTATCGTTGGACACGTCGAATATAATCGGGGACGGGCTTCAAATTGTTTTGGTGATGAAGGAGAAAGTGAAAAAACGTTACGCAAATCGTGGCTAATTTCTAGTTTTTTTTTCAAGTTTTTAATCGTTTGGTGTGTGTTTTTTTTAATAAGTTGTAGGTTTTATGTTTCTAATCTGCTTTTCTAAATTGCTAGATTTTTTTTAAAGTTAAGCAATGTATGGTATTTGTATTTTTAATTAATGAAATATTATCTTTTTAAAATTATGTTTTTTTTATTAAAAAAGAAGTTTTATTAAATTAAAATAGTTAAAAAAAATAAATAAATAAAATAAAAGTGTGGCATCACTCCCTTGGTGTGACAAGAAACCACATTTGTGTGGTAAAAAATGACGTGACACTTATGTGCGGTGAAGGGAGTGCGGTTTCGGTGGCACCACTCCCTCCAGTCTAAGACTATGTTTATTAGTAATCTCTCACAACTCAATTTTATATTAAAAATATATATTTTTTATTTATCAATCTACATACCAACCAATTTTATTTTTTTTATCATTTATCAACAACCTAAAACAATTAAAAATTATATAAAGTTTGTTGATGGTGATTACTACATTCAAACACCCACACTAGGGTTAAATAATGGTGCTATAAAGTTTGTTGATGGTCCACACAATCTCTTTATGTAAAATTAATACTAAAAAACATGTAATGTTTAACAAAATATATTAATTTGTTTTTTTTAATCCGTGTATTACACGGGTCTCACACCTATATATATATATATATATATATATATATATATATATATATATATATATATATATATAAGTTTAAAAAAATATGAATATTATATTCTATTGATAGAAAATTAAAAACCATTAACTTTAATTAAAAAATAAATTTCTTTAATAAATAAATTACATGTTAAATGGCTTTTAAAATTAAATTTAAATAAATAAATAAATGGTGACCACTCATGATTCTCCACGTGTGCAAGTGATGGCCACGATTTCTTAGGCTAAAAGGAGTGGAGTCGCTAAGCTTGCTAAGGGCATTGGAACATCGCCACTTAGCACTCGTTAGGGGCTCACTAGATGAAGCTCGTTACGAGCTTGGTGAGATGAGAGAGGAAATGATGCTTGCATGTGATTGACTAATTTCTTATTCAGTGGATCCAACCATTTTTCCCCTAATTTCATATTTTTTTGAATAATTTCTTTTTTCGATTAAAAAAAAATCTTTATTTATCCAATTTCAAAATTTCAAATTTCAACTCAACCCCTATAACTTAACATTACACTCTCAACATTTCACACACACAAACTCTCATTCTTTCTCTCACAAATTTGGTATTTCCTATATAAAAATGTTGTCTTCGTCATCATCGTCATCTTCATCAAACAATGATTTTGATAGTGTAGTACAGTCGGTCATCTCCATACGTAAATAGGCCATAACAACATCATAACAACCATGAATCGAGCAATGTGCAACGTAAACGAAGAAGATATATCTTAAGACAACGTGTAGTATCCCACCAATGTCTCATGCATGATTATTTTGACGAGCATGCTCTCTTTCAAGGATATTATTTCCGCTGACGGTTCAGGATGCATAAAAATTTGTTTATGCGTATTGTAGAAGGTGTGAGTTTAGTGTCTGAGTATATGCGGCAACGCCTAGACGCAAGGGGTAAGTTAGGCTTTGATCCAATTCAAAAATGTATTGTTGTATTTCGTATGTTAGCATATGACACCCCCCCCCCTCTCTGATGCAATAGACGAGAGTTTTAGGATGTCTACATGTACTGTCCGAGAAAGTCTTCACGAATTTTGCATATCTGTCATGTCTTTGTACGGTCCACGATATTTGCGTCATCCTACTTCTCCTGACATACAAAAGTTGTATGCTCATCATACCAATGGTCATGGTTTACCTGGGATGTTAGGAAGTTTAAATTGCATGCACTGGAGATGGAATTTGTGTCCAAATGCATATCATGGACAATACATGAAGGCCAATTATCACTATCATGGACAATACAGGATTTGTGGTTCTGGCATGCCTATTTCGGCAGTACCAGTTCGATTAATGACGTTAATATTCTCAATAACTCACTAATATGCAACAATGTATATGACAATACTGTCCCAAATTTGTAATTTGTACTCCGATGAACGAAATACAAATTTGGGTACTATCTTGTCGGTGCGATCTATCCTGACCTTTCTGTTTTTGTTAAAACTTTGTTATATCTGGATGACCCTCAAAGGTCCAGATTTAAGAGAGTCCAAGAAAAGGCGAGAAAATATATCGAACTAGCGTTTGGAGCACTTAAAAACGTTGGCAGATAGTTGTTAAAGCATCTTTGTTTCGTGATGTTTCTACTATGACAGAGGTGATGTATATGTGTATCATATTGCATAATATGATACTAGAACATGAAGGAAACGTGATATGTGTATACGACAAGAATGAAGTCACCCCCGAGACACAACCACTTGAATATGGTGGTCAAGAATAGATATAGAGATTGAGGATAGTCAACAATGCAGTAATCCAAACCGATCGTCGCCGCCATTTGACCAATCATCTTAAGACGATGGATAATATTGATCTTAATATGCCTCCGGAAGACGAGTTGGAAGGCCATTTTTTGGAGGTAGACTCATTGCTTTAGTGTGTTTTTTATGAAGTGTGTTTTAGTTATGAAGTGTTTTTTTATGTATTAAGTCGTGTTTCTAGGTATTGAATCATTTTTGACGTGGTTTGAAATATTAACTCGTGTTTTTAGATATTTTAAGTTTTAATTTATTGTAACTTTTTAATTTAATATGAAATGTTTGTGTTTTAAAAAAATATAATTTATTTGAAATTAATTGTTTGTGGTTTAAAAAAATAAATTTTATTTAATATTAATTGTTTATGTTTTAAAAAAATAATTGTAACATTCTTCAACTAGGTAATTTACATCATTGACCTAATCTGGACCAAATATTAATTGTTTATGTTTTAAATGAGAAACACGAAGTTGTGTGTACGTTAGGCTTATGTGGTTGATGTTTAAACCCTAATTTTTAGGGTTTGAGCCCTATTTAAACATCATTAACTCCCAATAGCTTCTCCCTCATCAACCTCCATTGCCCACTTCGTCCCTTACAAACCCTAATCTCCATTTGTGGTGTTTTGAGCTCATTTTTGGTGTTTGGTGTCCACTTTTGAAGGAAGGAAGCCATTGGAAAGCAAGGAAGGAAATCCAAGCTTTGTAGATCTGAGTTTTACACTCCTTGAGTAATCTACAGAAGGTATAAAGTTCTGAACTTTTTGGTTATCTCATTAGATCTTGCTAGATGTGTAGTTTTGTGCTCGTTAGTCCCATAATCTTGGTCTATTTGGGTATGACCTAATTTGGACTAAATGAGTGGTCCTTTTGGACGTTTTAGAGTGTCTTGAGTTATAAAAAATGAGATATTGATCCTCCATGCATCAATTTTGGTGGCTTAGAACCTTAGGATAGGTTACAATTTTGGTTTTGGGCTCTTAATAGCCATGCAAGATCATAAAGTTAGAAACTTTATGATTTAGAACATTATTTGGGTCTAGATATGGGCTTTGGATGAAAGGACTTAATAGATTCAACACTTAATAGAGGAGAAAAAGTGGCAACTTAGTACGATGGGCGTACTTAAGGGTATGTTGCGTGTACCTGGTCAAGACCCTGTAACTTGGCCAAATGAATACACTACGTGGGGCGTAATGGCTGAGTACGTCGGGCATACTCAACCTGAATTGACTCGGTTGACTTTTGACCTTTTGACCTTGACCAGGATTTTGACCTAGGGTATTTTGGGTATTTTGAGCTGTGAATTGAGTCTAGGTCGCTGTTTTGTATATAGGTGACTTGTAGAGTTGACAGTTGGAGCAACGTTCTTTTCTGCTATCTTTTCAGACTGTGATGTGAGTTTTTCTCACTGTACTTGTGGGTCGAAGGCACCAGTGTCGGCCTACTAGA